TGGGTTTTGAAAATATGTAAAGATGCATTACATGCCAGATTGTTGATTGTTGATCAGTCATTGTTGTGTGAAATCTCGTGGTTTGTTAGAAATGGAAAAAAATCTCAGGACGACCCAATACCTTTGGTTGCGTCGAAGGCCGTTCAGTGATTTATCTGCTCTTACCACCAATGTAAACCTTTATCTCTTTCAAACTTTGGCTCGGAGCAAAGCGTCTTCTTAATTTCTCAGAATACCTCAGTTGGGAATTAGAGGATCGGAATTAATATTTCTAAGTGTTGTCTTGTCCGCTACATAGTGGCACCCAGTCACTGCTGTTTCACAAAACGCGGTCCGCTGACGCTTTTTTTACCGTCAAAGTCATTCTTGTCCGTCAAGCAAATCTTCATAATTTCTGCTTTTTCCATTTTGAGGCCTGTATTCAGGTTCAGCGCATTGGAAGACCTAAGTGTAAAGAGCTTGATATTTCTGAAGCGCAGTAGATTCTGTTTTCTCCAGCTTGGTAACTTATGATTTAACCCTTTTGGAGCAGTTGAAACGCTTCGTTCTTTCGACTTATCTTGGCATTTATAAGTTCCTGCACCACTACAACTTTGAGCAGTTCGATTGCTCGCGCTTTTATGGGACTAATTTCTCAAACATCATGAAAGTTTAGGCTTGGCCCAGCGGGGCCATGTCTATGCTGTAATTTCTCCGAGATAGAGAAGATAGTACATGAATCGAAAAAGCAGACGGTTGCGTTCAGTTTCCAAAATTCTTACAATCGTACAACTTTGTCTGATTATAATTGACAGCCAGTCTTATTGACTTCAATAATTTCATTGATATAGCATTGAAATTGTGCAGTTAAGTACATATTTTCGTGTGAAGAATTCTGTGCATTTACAGCCTTTTTGATACAACGATACAATCCTTTTTGATACAGGATGTCCCAGAAAATGTGAACTTGTTTGATCGCTAATAACTCTCTTGTTTTCGCGTCTTCCCCCGAGCTTGAGGTGTCATTCTGCAGAGCGAGGTTTAATTCAAATTTACAGCATGGAGTCATCAATTACTCTTTATTACTGTAGGATAACGATAGGAACTTCGAGTAGGAAATTTCAGGAAATTGAAAGCGATTTTAAAACCAAACAAACCAGAAACTCTTATACTGGACTGATTTGAATCTGTTTCAAATATGGAAGTTGCACTTTACTGTAATGCTTATTTCATAAATTATTCCAGGTTTGGGGTAGCGACTGTTTTTCCACTGTCGTCAGAAGTGTGATTACACCACTGATTAAGCTTGAAAAACTGCTAAAAAGTTATGTAGTGAATTCAACATTCGATCTACAGAACGGTACCTCAAGCTCAGTGAAAGACTCGAAAGCAAGAGAGTTGTTAACGATCAAGCAGTGTTCATATTTTTTGCACCTTGTACATCGAGAACGCGAAATGAAATATCATGCCTGAGTCCTGTAAAAAGTATTCTATAGTTCTAGACTACTCAAAACTTTTTAACTTTTGGCCATGGGGCGCGAAACTTGGAAGTGTGCGCTTTATGGACATTTTACATGCGTAGGTGTTGGCAATGTAGACTGTCACTTTGCTAAAGAGCCGGGCATACTTTAAAGGCAGCGTCCAGGCAGACCTGGACCTATGGGGCTTTTACGTGGAAAGTACTTTTGGGGCCCTAACCAAGGCGCTGCCCAAGCGGCAGCTCAGGTAGTGCTGTAATGGCTGAGATATTCCCCTCGAAACTGGACCCCGCGACCGTGTTTCGCATGGATTCGTGGCGCAAAGCGTGGATCCTGGCGCGAAACTGCCATGAATCCATGCGAATACGTTCGCGGGGGCCAGTTTCGAGGGGAATATCTCAGCCATTAGAGCACTGCCTGAGCTGCCGCTTGGGCAGTGCCTTAGTTAGGGCCCCAAAAGTACTTTCCACGTAAAAGCCCCATAGGTCCAGATCTGCCTGGACGCTGCCTTTAAGCGATTTCAATCACGACGCAATTTGGCAATATTCCAAGTGTCCACAACTCATTGTCACATTATAAATGTACAGAAGATAGGACATTTCTTCAGTTTACGTAAGTTATACACACTATGCATGTGCAGTTTGCTAATGTTGGATCCGAAGACTTCTGGCGAATTGCCAATTCGCGTCGCGACTGAAATCGCGTGAAGTATGCCCGGCCCTTAACGCGCATTGTCGTCAAGCATCGCAGGAGGTGTATAAACACATATATAGCCTTCGTCTCTTATTCTGCGAGTTTTATTTAGTTCAAGCTTCAGCATTGCTGCGACCCTTCAAGTTGTTGCTTTGGTGCTGACCGCTGCGTATTCGTCCGCTTCTCAAACATATCCGCCTTCTCCAGGCGGACCTTTTGTGCAACTTCTTTGCCATGATGTTAGTGTTTTTCTTTACAAATTTGAAATTCTGGAGCGATGATTAGAGTTGAGTGACTAATGTAAAAGGAGTATATTATCATCTTTTCACCTTCCTTCAGTAAAAATGAAAAAACTTCAAGAGGAGTTTGCCGAAAGGGCATTGACAAAAAACATTGTCACTGCTATCGATCATATTGTCGAAGCGATACGTTGACGTCTAATGTGAAGAATTCAGAGCGGTTTTTGCAAATTAATTACCTTTCTGTGTGCAGGCAATTGCATCTCAGCTCGTAATAACCACCTATAATGTTTCTCCACACACCTGCTCTATCAATTCGTCTACTATCCATCTTGTGCACGGTTACAAGGAACTAGACTGTGTGAAAAGTGAACTCTGATACTGTTTGAAGAGATTGCAAGAGTTTTTTTTTGCAACTTTCCGAACAACAATGTTATGAATTTTTTTCGATAATACCAAAGCATGGCGCACCTCTTAAAGGGAGTGCGTCGGCAGGATGAGGCCCGTGGCAAAAGAAGGTTACGGGGTAAGAGCCCCCATAATGGAACCTATGGGCCAAAGTTCGGGCTTTCTCTGCCACTTCTAACCCCCAAAATTTCAAAGCGAAAGCAGCGCTCATCTCTTGTCCTCTCCGAATCCGCCTACCCAATGGACGAGTGAACGCGGAGCCCGTCATGGCGAAGACGCAGAGTCGTTGCGGGACCTCATGCTTATAGCATTGCGGCTGGCGCTCTGACCGTGGAAGACACTCGTCCATGGGGTGGGCGGGTTCGGAGAGAACAGGAGATGAGCGCTGCTTTCGCTTAAAAATTTCGGGGGTTAGAAGTGGCAGAGAAAGACCGAACTTTGGCCCATAGGTTCCATTATGGGGGCTCCTACCCTGTGACCTTCTTTTGCCACGGGTCTCATTCTGCCGACGCAGTGCCTTTAAAGAATGGAGGAGTGATTTTCAGGTTCTCACGTTTTTGTAATTTTACCCGTTGCTCCCTCACAGCACGAGAGTTGATGGGAAATTTCTTCTAAAATTAAGCTTTGATCTAATTTCTTGTATGGAAGTGTGCAATTCACCGGTTAATAAGAGGTTGGGGAAAATTTACTATTACTGAATTGAGCTTCCTACAAAGTTATAATTTAACGTTTGGAGTACTTTGAAGCAGATTTTTGACAATGGAAAGAATTGTGGTCACGTCATTTTATCAGGCTGCCCTGGTTTTGGATACTACGTGATTTATGGCGCATTACCCTTTTTCTCATCATCAGTGTCTGAATCATGCTCCTAGATCGATTGATTTCTCTGGAAAAGATTAATTTTCTGAGAGTGGTAACATTGGCAACAATGGAAACATGATCGATGTTGAACAAAAAAAAAACTGACCAGTTACAACAATACTTGCTTACACCCAGGTGTTCGAAAGCTTAGAGTAGTAGGTGCAAAACCTAGGAAAAATGGGTAGAGGAGCAAATACTTCTGATAGGCGTCGCCTTTGCGGACTTCTGGTCCTCGTACGCTATGGTCTGGCGTGAGGACCAGTGGTCCATAGAGCAATGCCTAACAGTTGTATTGGTTTCTAAACTCCCCTATCCCTCTTCCTTTGGCACCTAGGACAAAGATCGCAGAATCTAAAGAAAAAAGAAAGAGGGATAAGTTCCAACGTAGGCATCGCTTCCGCGGACTACTGTTCCTTTCTCACAGGCTGTGGCCTACCGTGAGTGGGGACCAGTGCGGCTCCATGGGAGGCGGTTCGCCTCCTTACCCCCTCCATTTTCCACACCCAATTCAAACGTTGCATCATCTTCCATATGTCATGCGCCAACACACATAACAGTTTACAATCACAAGTGTAATAAGTTCTTGCTTGTTTAGTTCAGCGAAAACGGCTGTTCATAGTGTTTGCTTACAACCGAAATGGGCAAAGTGAGTCGAGCTTATAGCGGAAACTACAAAAAAATCCTTTTCGACGTAATCATCCATAAGAAGGTTAACAGACTTGTCAAAGGTAGCGAAAATGTCTCTCTCAACAGAGCTTAGTCTTTGATCTTCGCAATGCTAGTATATTCTCACAGTGCTGTTTTCTATGGTTTTTGGCGCACAGAAGTGAATCATACAAGGGGTAACCTTCACTAACATGCGGTGAATGAGCGGAATTTATGCGTAATTGCACGGTCTTTGATTCTCACATCGAATTGGGCGCTGCGCGTTAGGCGGCGGCAAATCTTCGCTACGTGCACGGAACATCGTCAGCGCTCACGACGAAGTCACCGTCGTCGATCTATTTTTGATGGAATGTGCTGACGTAGCGGCCGCAAACGATTTGAACTAGCTCGCTGCGCATCGATTCCCGTCTGCCCTCAATTGAACAAGAATTTCGAGTGCAGATTGTCACTTGAGCTCTGTTAGTAAAAAAACTGATGGGGAACGAACTCTGCCAGTTTGAGCAGCCTTCGCTGGCTTCTGGTCCTTTTGCACCGTTGTTGCATGTCGTTGCAGGAACGGTAGTCCGCTGAATCGGCTCCAACTAGCGGAGTTCGTTCCCCTAATCACTGACGTCAAAGCTGTGTTCAAAAAATTGTGAAAAGAAAAGCGATAAGAAATGAACTAAATTTTTTTCAGAAAAGCGCTAAAGTGCGGCGACATGACGATGAAAGTCTTGACGATATCGCCGAAATGCAAAACGAGAAACGTAGCCGCAAAGAGAAGGATGAACGGCTGAGCACAATTCGCAAGAAAAAAGGTAATAAGAGTACATCGTTTCAAAAGTCCCGATTCCGTTCCAAGCATTCTAAAGGGCCTCTCGTATACAGTTCTTCTCATCGTTCTTATTCGATATCGTCGAATTGCTAAAGGTGCGTCGGAGTGATTTTTGCTTAGCCTTCCGTCACACCTATACTCGGCATCGATTCTTTAAGTGTCTTATGAAAAGCGGATGCGGGACCTTTGTCCTTGAGCGGTTACGGAACGAATTGAGAAGAAGAAAACACTGTAAAGGTTTTCTATGTTGCGCGTGGGAATTTCTTTTACGAAGGTTGCTATGCGCAAGATAATGAATATAGTGAAAGAAATGAGCAAGTTCGTAAACGCAAGATGATTGCTGGAGTAGAGAAAAAGAGACTATTTTGATAAGCTAAGCGTGCCTTTTCTGCGCTCGATTTTCATGCCTCTGAGTCGTTGTGAAATTGCGCTTTTCTTTCCCATTTTGTATATAGGTTCGTCGTTCCAGAGGGGGTAGCGAAACGACGACAGACACACTCACGATCGCTCCACCGCTGCAATTTCTTGCTTATTCACTGGCCTTGCTTTTTCTAATTGCATCATCTGGTTTTGGTAGCCAACGCGCTCGTTGCCGTTCCCCCCATACTCTACAAGTTACCCCCCTATACTTGTCCAAGCAAGTGGTGATTGTAATAGGGAGTAATGCATGGGCGTAGGCAGAAAACTGTTAAGATTTGTACATTTATTCCGCGAGCGATAAGGTTGCAGAGAGACATATACACATCGAAATGATAAGGGTAAAACGCTCACGAAAGAAAAAGATTCTTGTTACGGACGATGGCGGTCATCTCGTTTTGGGTTGGATGGCGCATACGTCGGGACACCCGCGGCTACATAAAGTGAGATCAAGCATAGACATGTAAGAGGGGAAAATATAGATGAATATAGAAGCATTAGATGTAGTAGAATTAGAGAAGTTTCTGAATATTATTTCAACGGGCAGCCCGAAAACCCGAGTTGAACTCATTGACCTTGTTGGTGAGCTTTTTCATAAGGCTGTTCATCTCCAGTTTCTTCTCGCGAGTAGGTGCTGGCTCTGAAAAACATAAACACTTTGAAAGGTGAACCACAATGAGTGGCATGGCTAGGGTTTTGCAGGAGCAAGACTTGAATTAGTTTGCACTAGCTTACTGTAGCGTTTTTCTAGCATTATTGCACTTTCGCGCCTTTTTTCTGATTCAATTGAGGTTGGTTAGGACGCCTATCATGAACAGAAGAATTCATATAATTGTTCGGTTGCACTACCATCAACCAAAAAAAGAAAAATTCTTGGAAGTAGGTACTTCAAGAATACAGCATATTACTTCCGTAATTGTTGAAGCAATGCAAAAAAAAAGCTTTGATGCAGAAGTCATCAATGTAGATGTACAATTGCCCTATCTCAAAGAGTCATAACCGCATTCCTGCGCCTCGTAACGGTCAAACAAAAAACGTTTCGCATCTCTCTACACCGCCAAAACTATCGACAAAGAAAAATGCTTTGTAAAGAGAAACGACTTACTTCGCACAACTTCGACAAGTTCGTCGGTATCTTCAGATTCTCGGCAGCGAATACGTTCAAAATATGTGGCGAGACGGAATGGACGCATAAGACGAGGATTATCACGCTGTGTTTCAGACAGCAATTCACAGAATCCTTTTTTCTGGTATGCGAATGGATGGAAATAGTTGACAGCCTTGCATCGTGGCTTTTCTGCACATTTTTGTAGGCATTCTTCATGTTCGTTTACGCTCATTGTTGCCATCATAGTTCCGAAGTAAACATATTCGGGAATCGCATCGGAACGGAGTCCGAGTGGGCATTCTGGAAATGGGAGAGTTGGTTACATGAAAGAGAATGAGAATATTATTTGGTTTTGTGGAGATTCCAATGGGAGGAGGTTTCGGACCTCCAGTTCTGTAGGCCCTAGTCGACTGAGGTGTACAGAACTGGAGGACTGATTTAGCTTGCATAACAACAGAACAGTTGAATTAACAACAACTAAATTCAAGAAAACATAATGGCTAAGCTAATCTACAATCAGGCTAAACACGGGACTCAAAAAAGACGTTTTTATAAACAAAATTCAAGAAAAATACAAAACAAAATCATACTACCTGCTTCGTCGTAGGTAACATCATAGAATGCTGGTGTCCTACTAGGATTCAGATGAGCTCTCAGATCACCCCACCATTCAGTAGTGGAAGATACTAACGGAACAATAAGCACAGCATAGCTGAAGGTAACTTGCCACATTTTGGACAACGCGTTCACTGCGACTGCTGTGACAGATTCGCGCCGGCCCCGCCCGCGCCGAGTACCGCGCGTTACCCGCCCCATACCGCTCCCCTCTTAGGAAAACAATCATCTCTCGTGGATTAATTAAGAGAGAAAGTTTTTCTGCGCTTTTTGAGTGAAAGTTCAAGCTTTTGGAGATGTTAGGCCTGCGCATTGTGTAAAGTTTTGAGGGTTTGTTGAACAAGCGAGAAGTTGTTTCGGCTACGAAAAATCCTGCGCTTTCAAGTGGAATCATCCAAATTGCAAGTAGTAGTTTGATGCTTCTTTGTCTATTGATCTACCCTACTGAATGCAAAGCAAGAAGTAGTAAACTGCTCGTTGGAAATGAAACTGATTTTCATGAAAAAATCAAATGGCTTTATCTTAGACCCCGGACATACCTCACGCGATTTTACTCGCGACGAGATTTGGCAATACTCCAAATGTTTCACATGCATCGTAAGGGCATTCCGAATTTAAGGAAGATAGGGCATTTGATCAATGTGCGGACGTTATACATGCATGCATTTGTAATCTGCAAAGGTTGCATTTGAAGATGGCTTGCAAATTGCCAGATCAGGTTGCGACTGAAATCGCCTAAATTTTGCCCGAGGACTTGAAGTTCTAAATCGGTCATTCACATGGATTGTGCAACATAACTAATTTGGACTTCAAAATAATATATTCAAATATCGCTGATAGGCAAACTTTATAGGAATGGCCATCACAGAAGCTTGAAGTCTTATTAGATTTTTGATCATAAGAAACTTTAGCCAAGCAATTTATCGCTTCTTTCTTTCAAAACCAGTTTTAGCAGTTACTAGATAAACAGTTTTAGTACAAACTAGGTTGCGATTCTTGCAGCTGTGCAAAGACAGGTCGTTTTCTTCAAGTGATAACGAGCAACCATTAGTGAATCGATCTGATCGATGTACAACGCTGTCTGAGTCACAGTATGATGCGCTCCGTATCCGACAAAAAAGATTTCGGTTACGCTCGGTGCCCCTAATCTTGTTATGGTAGGTTCAGGCGAGAGTGGGTAGAGGGTGTGATTAGGTGTTTGACAGCGTTGGTAATTGATTTTTCCACATTTTTGACAATAAATGGGTTCCTTATAATGACCATCTTCCACGACTTGGCGCGGAAGACAGTATTTCCAGTACAGTACTTGTCCATCTTTATATTGTCAAGATTTCTATGAGATAGCAATTTTCCATAATGAAAAACTCTCAGCATCATTGTATTAACAATGTCTATCTTATTTTCAGAACATCAACGCTTGGAACGTTCTTTAGACGATTGTGTCAGATGTCTGGAAAGTAGAAAACTGGCCAAACATGCAGTTGTAGCGATTGGAATCCACGTAAGCGCATCTCTTCTCTACTAGTCACACTCCGGCTAGCACAATCTATCATTTTTGTTTGAGCAATCATCTACTAGTAACCGCTTCCTGTACACTGTCCGGTTTACTCGTTCTGCTTTGCAGCGAGTATCCGAATTTTTCTGATTTGCTTGCTCCTTTTATGCGTTTCTGGTGCGGAAGTGAGCGTTTGTACAATCTACTAGAGAGTAAAATATGATAAGTTTGAGGGTCTTGAATCATATACCTCGGGATGAGTTCGAGGGGTTAGTTATTGTCTTTTACATTTTTTCCGTAATTGTACTTGGAAAAACCTTAGTCCGCACTCTCGTTGACTTGGATTTTTCGTCATCATTTTTTTAGAGACTTAGGAGATTGTGGATACAAACCCTCTTTTCTCAAAATCTGACTTTATTTCTATATTTTTTGGACATTTCGGTGTCCATTGAATGTATGGCCCCAAATTCTTCTCTTTTGTTGAATACAACTGATTTTTTTTACTTCAGACCTTTTATAATCTCGTCGGTTACAGCTCTCTTTCTGAATCCTTCACCCCCTCCCCATTTTGAATCCTTCAGTCGCTGCCCGTATTGTACCATGTCTATGACCCTTTGATTAATCTAATCTTCAAGAATTTGATGTCACATTAGATGAACTCAGAGACTGTCCCTTCGGTTTTGCAAGGCATTGTCAATCAGTTTTCTTGTAATTTCGCAAATTTTCTAAATTCGAATTTTTTATCAATGACTATATTTCTCCAACTTCCATCTTAACCAGTCGGAACTGGTTATTCCTGTACTAATTGTAGGCACTGCTTACGAATATCGTAGATTAGTTCCGCATTTGAGGAATCTTCAAAGAGACCTAATTTTCTAAATCGGAATTATTTCATGATATAGTACTTCCAATATCCGCGTCCTCGATTCATCTAGAGTGATTTTTCGAATTTTCGTGAGCCCTTTTTAACAGAATCGGAATGGAATTGCTGCAGTGAGTGCGGTTTTATTTTCCAGCGCATCCAGGTCCAAATTTTTGAAGACAAGTTCCTGGTAATGGTAATTTGTTGATGGATCGTGAATTGCTCACTAAATTTACTCAGAACTTTACTTTCCTTATTCCGGTTAGGCCCACCTATGTTTTTATAACACCAGGCAATTTTTTGAATTACTCTTAATCAAGTCCTCTTTTGAAGAGTTCGCGAAAAAAGTGGAAAGTCATTCTGTGTTGATTTATTGTCTATAAACTTCGCAGATCTAATTCATCTTTTTGTGATACTTTGAAAATGTGTTCTTTGCTGCTCAGGTGCTAAAGTTTAGGAGGAGCCATTGTCATAATGGATTTCTTAACTTCTTCTAAGCCAACAGGTTTTCCTACGAGACTATGCTATGAAGACATTGGCTCTGGCTTAAACTGCTGTGGAAAAAGTTGCCGATGACATTATAAAGCGTTGATCCGTTAATGCGATTGCATTCGGGTAAGATGCCATTATGGGTCTCAGTTTGATTTGTAAAAAATTCTCGTCTACCAACTTACAGGATACTATTTTGGGATGCTGTACAGCTAAAGAAAAACTTACGTCGAATGCTTTAGTAATAACGTAATTGTTATTCGCTGAAATTTGTGTAGTCGAGTAGGTTTTTCTGCTAATTTGTGCAGTTGCACATTAAGGCAAATTTATGCTTTTTTCGCAACTGCATTCAAGCAACAAAGGAAACTAAGAATAGACTCAAAGAAAACATCTGAGGCTAATCGCATCAGTTACTAAAATTACTCGACATACTTTTGCAAGGAGTGAAAAAATTCATCCAGTTTAGTGTAATGTTCACGTAAATTAAGCCATTTTCTTGTAATTTTCTCATGCCCATTGTATTTTCACTCTGATCCATGGATCAATGAGTTGGCAAGGCAGCATCATACGAGACAACACACTCAAAACCCTGCGGAAGTACTGGCATGTTAAGTGCTGCGGAACCGCTGGCATTTTGCGGAAGTTCCGCAGCGCCTTGTAAAAAGTCCTGTGAGGTTCCCGTTTTCAACCAGTCTGACGTGAAAATCCTACGGAAATTCCCGTTTTCAACGTTTCCACTTTTGCAGTAGTAAACAAAATCCTGCGGAACCGCTGCAAATTTCGCTTGTCTTGCGGGAGTTCCGGTAAATTGTCAGAGCAGACCGTATTTTTTTCAAGTGGACCAATCAGCGCCTTCCAAGTACGGTAGGAACTACTGTCTGAGCTGCACTTTACAGCTAAATTTCTCCGCTACTAATGAATCATATGAGCTGACACTTGAGCAGTGGCTCACATGAGGGCTTCCCAATGTGTTCCCATTTGAGTAACCTAGTATCCAGATTTGCACGGGCATTGTGGATGGTTGACCAATGTTTAATACTTGATGGTGTTGATTGTGCCTAGTAACATCTGTGCGAATCCTGTTCGATTACAGAGTGCTTCGTTCATAAACAAAATTCGTGTTCTTGATGCTAAATTTGGGAATCTGCTTTGCACTTTCTTTTCTCTCGCTCTTCTAACTCATAAACAAACAACTTTTCAATACTGACGAGTTTTGTCCTAATGTGCTCTTTCTCCTTCAGTTTCACAGACTACTTCTTATGCGGAAAGGAATTACTCAATGCTCTCTATTTAGACATATCTGGCTGTCGCAGAGTGGGATGGTTTAGACGAACAACATTGCCTTATTGTACCCACTGAACACACAAGTTCAAGTATACAATTGGATGAAAATGTTTGGGACGAGATGCGAATATGGAGAAAAGGTGAGGTTATGCTCAGAAAGGTTTGTTGTCATTTTTGTTCAAGAAATCTAACGAGGTAATTCGACATTGTAAAGTAATAACACTGTGTACACCAATTTAACGCATTTCTAGATGTAATAAGATTTTATTGCATTCAAGACTGTATATGTAGGAATGGTGTCAGAGGGGTTCTGTTCACTTTTGTACAGGCTTCATGACTTTCAGTTTTCATTTTTTCTTTGTGATTTTATTTTGATAGAAATCATTCAGAGCAGTAGTCAATGAGCAATTTAGAAATCCTGCTTGGTACTAAATTCAGTTCATTTCAACGGTTCCAATTTTATGCAGCCACTTTATGCATCTTTTTAAGAATCGTAAAAGTTTTCATAGTCTCAAATTTACCTCGTGATTCGCATTTTTCTTGTTCTGAAAGTTTCTGTTGTTGCGACAAAATGACTGTGATAAAAGCTATACGATTCTTTATGTCCACGATTTTTTGGTGCAAGTAGGTAACTAGTATTTTTGAGGCTAGAAGAGCCAAAAGCGATTTTACAAGAAGAGCCAAAAGCGATTTTACAAAGTTGGAGGGCGTGGATTTACTTTACCACTGCATAAACGTACATTTCATATCAATAGGAGTGTCATATTACTATCCCAGCTGAGGTCCTCTCAATACTAGTTATGTTAGAAATTTGAAATGAAGGGTCATAAGTGGTTTTGTCGAAAATTTGTATTCGTTTAAACCAGTCTAAAATTTCCGTATATATGTTTTTCTTTAGGAAATCTTAATTCGATTCTAAAAAAGTTTGTTGCGTCAGTAAAACTTTGATCACTCTTTCGTATGAAGTGGGATATTTTTTGCTCTTCCGTAATCTTTTTTTCGTAATCGTTGTCCTAGCTTTCGTACATCTTCCTAGTATCGAAACTTTCTATCAGCAAGAATTACGCGAGGAATTTGAATTGGACATTTGCGGGCCACTTCAATCGCAAAGTGCAGTGGACTTTTTAGCCGATTCCTTTTAATGCGACTATTCGAATAGTGGGTACGAAGAGCAGTTAAGTATTGTTTGTCAAATTCCTGTCATTCCACCGAAGTTTTCGACGATCGAAAATTTCTTAACATGTCGAAGACTTTGCACTTTTTTCGTTTTGGTAAAGATTTCACATGAATATGCTTTTAGCACATAGGCTTTGTTTATCAACTTTTTGATTGTGCAATTCAAACCTAGAGATATTATGAAGTTATGACTATTATTGCACTGTAAATTTCGTAACTTTCGTCGTCACCCATCAGATTCTGGGAATTGCTTGAGCACAATGTCCAAATATCCACAGTTTTCTCTCAGATTTGTTTTTTTCACTGTCATTGCCGTTTTTGCTCTGACGCCGAAGTTAATAATTTCCTCGTCTGGCTGAAGAAAACTTATTGTTGGTCCATTTTCGTCTACCTCAATTTTCAACAATTACATGACATCTCGTCTGGATTAGATTTGAGTAATGCATATTAGTGTCATTTGACACCTTCAGCTATTGATCAGGTGAAAATACTGTGAGTCACCAATTTTGATGACCTTCGTACCTTTATTTATTTATTTATTTATGAGTACACTCAAGGTGTGCCGTAAATAAAAAAGACAAAAACATTCAAGAAACAAAGTAGAAAAATAGCCCGACCTAAGACTAGTAACCAGAGAAGTTTACTGAGGCACACTAATGGAAAGTAAGACGAAGTCCATAGTCCCACACTAACAGACGAAGCAAGAAACAGATGGCAGTAAGGATTCTAGAGAATCCTGCCCTCTTCAATACCCATGATGAACCCAATTTTGGGCATCAGCGAGCTCGCGGGTAAAGCTAGCTGACTAGACCCCGATGAGAATCAATAGAAAAGGGCAGAAGAGGACAAAATTCTATTTGTGGTAGTATTAGTTACCTACCAGCTATGAAGTTGTAATCAGGCAAAGAGATCTGCTCTAGTGGGGACCTGGGCTCCGGTAGACTATAAGATGTAGATATGATACCCTAAGAATGGGACTGGTTGCTTAGGTCATTAGTAAAACAGTAATCGAGTTAGTAACAAACTAGCACTGCAAAAAGCTGTCTATCTCTGCTAAATCTACTATCCGGCATAAATGATAGCAATGCAAATACCCTTGAGCTACGTGCACAATTAAAAAAAAGAAGACGTAGTTGTAGTTGCAAGCAGGACCGGCTGGAATTGAACGCAAATTGAACTGGGGAACGAACCAAATGCAGCAAACCAAAGTGACCAAAAATAGTTGAATCAGGAATCCATATCAACCTGAAGCATTTCATTCAAATTCTTTTTCCTAAGTTCACGTTTGAATGATTTACTATCTCTACAGGCTAGATATTCACGAGGTAATTTTTGAAGCAACTTTTGTACTCGATTAAAAAAATCATGGCTCAGCAAACTGAATTGTATACGCCCACCATTGGAATACATTGAATATAAAGAAAAACCAGAAGTCCTTCCATGACTGGGCTTGAACACCCAGTATTTAGAAGGTTTCAATCTGGTTTCACCCCTGAAAATCCTAAAAGCGAGTATGAGGTCATGAATATATCGACGATAAGAGAGACTCTTCAGATTTAGTCTTTTCAAACGTTCTTCATAGCTAGGAAGCAATTGTGGATAACCAGAATTAGGAAAACAACGATAAAACAGAAGTCTTGTGAACACCTTCTGAACACTCTCCAAACTTCGTTTGTGCTTCCTCAAGGAGGGGCACCACACCTGGCTCGCATATTCTAGCACAGGGATCACTAAGGCTTTATAAAGCCTCAATAGAATCTTTGCGTCTTTCACCTTAGTATTGCGAAATATCGTGTACATAATAGAAAAAGCTCGTGTATGTACGGCAGAAATTTGTGATTCGAATTTCAGTCCACTATCTACCAGAACCCCCAAGTCTTTCATAGATGTCTTGTTGACTAAAGCAACCCCTTGGTGCTCATAGTAGACTTCTTGACTACGTCCAATATGAAGAACGGAGCTTTTGCAAACATTGACAGAGATGTCCCATTTAGTACACCAATCAATCATAACATCGATAGAGCGTTGTAAGGCCTCTCTAACAATATTTCGGTTATCATCATTATACGATCCGTACATCTTGATGTCATCCGCGTACATGCATACATGCACCGCGGGATGTGTCTTCAAGATATTGGGTAGTTCTGCAGTGTAGATAATGAATAAGAGGGGTGACAATGCCCCGCCCTGAGGAAGTCCGCTTGGGCAAGGAAAGTGATCAGAATGGGTCTTTCCCACTCTTACGGTCATATATCTTTGATTGAGGTACGAATTGAGCCAGTTATAAAGAGCTCCTCTGATTCCATAATGCTCAAGCTTGTATAATAATTTAGAATGACTTATACGGTCGAACGCCTTAGATAGATCGAAATAAATTACATCAGTTTCTTGCCCGTTCAGTTTAGCTTTGATCCAGTCATGTGTGCAATCAATCAACTGAGTGACTGTGGATGCTCCACTTATAAAACCGTGCTGTTCTGGGGGTAACAATTTGAATTTTTTAAACCATTCGAGTAATTTATCACGTATAATCTTTTCTAAAACCTTGCATGGTACTGAATTTATGCTTATGGGTCTAAAGTCTGATACAGATATAGGATTAGAAAGTTTGGGCACAGCTGTAACTATGGCTTCTTTCCAAATGTCCGGGATTTCACCACATATAAAAGTAATGTTAAAGATATGAGAGAGAGGCAAAGAAAGTTCTTTAGCGCATCGCTTGAAAATTATCTGTGGCAAACCATCGAAAGTTTCAAAGGTAGAATGCTTGAGTTTCTTGAGAAGGCGTTCGACTGTGTAAGGCATAATGACAGGAGTTGAGCATGTATGTCTTACAGGAGCTTCAAGCGTTGTACAATTAGAAAGCGTAGAGGAAAAGGTACTGGAGAAAAATTCAGCTAGAACTTGTGCTTTATCTTGATCAGTCATATGAATGCAACCCATAGTGTCATTGATGGCTCCAAGCGTTCTGATAGAAGTCTTGCTACGAATGTAAGAGAAAAGCTTTTTCGAGTGTTTAGACGAGGCTAGGAGTTTTTCATGGTTTGCCAGAAATTTCTTGAGGTGGAATGTAATGTCAGAGCAGACTTTCTTGTATAGTGGACTGTTGTAACGGTGTGCTCTAAACAATCTTTCCTTCTGAAGTAAAAGGGACCGGATGTGGGTAGGGTATTTCAAGTTTCCAATTTTCGGCACATCAAAGGGAGTATATTTCGCTAGTATTCTGTATAAAATGCGACAAAATCTTTCATATACTTCAGAAGGTGTGCTATAATCTTTGAAGCATTCATCCCAGTTTATGTTATTAAGTTCAAGCTTCATTGCCTCGAAATTAATCTTGGTAAATGCAGGAAGCGGTAAGAGCTCACAACTTGGGCTGTCAAAATTATAGGAGAATTCTATCACATTGTGATCAGAGGTAGAAAATGGAGGCCTTATTAGCAGCCCAGAAACGCATTGTGGATCAGCAAGAACCAAGTCCAATATGGCATCATCACGAGTTGGTTCAGCCACGAAATGTTTCAGAGACATGTGCGAAAAGGAATCAGAAAATTTTTTGACATTCATATGACTAAGATTTTGTGAGCTTCGAAGACCTCGTCTAACCATAGGAAGGTTGAAATCACCCACGAGCAAAACATGTGGAGTACAAGAGGTAAGCGCAGAGAGCAGGTTCAGAAGTTCATCGTCTGAGGAGGAAGTAGAACAGGGAGGGCGGTAAACGCATACCATTCTCACTTTGCAAAGAGAAGTGGATTAGTAGAGATCAAAAGCTACGATCTCACAGCCGCCCGGAGGATTGACATCAACTTTCCCACAAATCAATATCGATTTTATCAAGACACGGACCCCGCCACCCCTTTTGTGTGACCTATCACAACGAAAAATGGAATAAGGCAAATCGGAAATAATTTCAGCATCAGTGATCTTAGATGTTAACCAGGTCTCAGTTATAAATAAAACATCTGGAAGAAAAGTGATCAGAAAATGATGTAATTCGAATATTTTGTTCACCAGTGATCGGGAGTTGAAAAGAATGCATTTTAGAAAGCTTCCGTGCCTGTCAATCAGTTTCCCTGCTGTGTTGGGACTGGTGTATGGCTGGGGTATGATAATTGGGAAGCCGATGGACTATTTTGTGAAAGGGAGCTGACTGGCACTAACTCGCCCTTGTAAACTACTAGCCTATTGCTGTAGTTTCTACTCCTGTTCAATTCCCTCGCCCGCTCTCGTAACTCGCTCTCCTGTTCCCTTTCCCGGGCCGTCATGCTTCTTCTTACGTAAATCCCCCTGTGGTTGGGGGAGTTCCTAAGCAATCTGGCCCGGGAAAGGACTGTCCTCCAGTGGCCCCTCGTGGGGAGTTCAACCTTCACTAAACGTGGTTTACCAGGGGTCGCCCTGCCCATCCGGTAAATTTTAGCGGGCTTACACTCCACGTCAAGAAAGTCTAGTACCCCTTTGACCTTCCTCTCGGTGTCGTCTTGCCGTTGAGAGGCAAGTGGTCTCCCTCCATCCCCCTGAACCTCAAGCTCTGGGAGGCCTGCAATCACTATACTGCGCATTCTGGCCTCCCTTTCCATAGCCCCATCGCTCAACTCGCCCAGGCGCAGTAGTATCTCTTCAGTGATTTCACGCACCTCCGGGATATTCAAGGCAAGGAGTTTTTTGAAGAGGTGAAGGATTGGTGCGGTATCGAGATCACCAGAATTGATACGAGAAGCGAGTGGATCGGGTGCTGATGATGGAAAGGAACTGGACTCAGAAGCTTGTGTAGCAATACCCTCCATAGCTTTTTGACTTTTGCGCTGTGACCTAGTCGATGGCATAGTGCAATATAGTGGGATGTGAGAGACTGAGGATGGTAAAGATATCGATCAAAAACCGAGAGGATTACGTGAAATAAGATTTCAACAAGTTTATAAATCAAAACAACAATTTAAAACTTCTTAGCTTCGTGCAAACACTCTAGGAAGATGTAACCAAGAGAGATAAATGAGAAAACTGGAGAGAAAGCAAAGAAGAGAGAATAATATGATCAATAGATGGAGCGATCCAAGAACCGACCACTCACGGTCAGTGCACGAGCCTGAATGTACAACAGTACCTTGGAGTTTATACTTTACTCAAGCTAAACGAAAATCTCTTTGACTTGAAGAACATTTTGTTATAAACCACGCCAAATGATTTGTGAACCTTTGAGCTCTAAGCTCACAATATCATGAGCAAGATTTCCAAAACGGCGCAGGTCAATTACTGGCAAAATTGTCATGACCTACCCTTTTCCATCCACTTTGTGATTTAGCCACACGATAACGCAACTCTTAAATTTGCCAAAATTTCAAATTTTGAGACAATAATTGCAGCCAGTGAATGAAGGTAAACTTTTTGCTTCATCAAACGCAAATCTGTTTCAGATCTAGTCAAAGCCTCTTTTCTGGATTATAAAAACAGTCTTTGCGCAAAATCCAGCAAAAATTACCTTACTGTTTTTTGGAGTCTGAAAAAAAGGCACGACCGTGGAGCAAAACATCTTGAGTCGTATTTCTAGTTCGAGGAAAAACAGGTTCTCAAATATCATGACTCAGAGTTTGTAAGAATTTTTTTCGAAGAGTCGTAGCGCGATTATGGCTCAGACTTTGCAAGGTTACTCACGTGTTTCTATATGTGGCGATTTTTATAATTTCGGAATCAGAACTCGAAGTAGTCATTGAGCACTTCAAGTCTCATCAAGCAAAGTTTTTTTTTGAGAAGCGGTTTTCACATTATTATCGAATATGAAGAATAGTGGAGATAAGAAATGAACAGCCACTGAACACCATTCTGATAATTGAACCCTTGTGAGTTCAGTGAAGAAGACTTCAGACCATTGGAGTTCACCTAATAGTCTCTCAAAAAATCTCTGTTACCTTCTTTTGATTAGCTATAAAATATTAGGTTGAACCGAAAGTTCGTGCGCACAAATCAAAAAATCCTAATTTTTCTGTTGATACGATTCTGCTCGCAACAAATTTTGTTAGAAAGCGCAAAGTGTTTGCTTTCAGTAGCGACCTAATGGCTTTCAGCGAGGTTCAGATTGCAGAGATGAAAATGTAAGAGAGGTATCTTCCGAAGACCGGCGATCTGAGGCAAGCTCGTTAAAACTCCAAAAACTGCGCTATAAAATCCAAACAGCCATTATTCCTAGCTGACCTCATCTTTCTAAGTGAAAATTTGTGGTGATCGAGCTTTTCTTTGAGAAGTTATGATTTTCGAGAAAAATACGGAAAATCGATCCCTTAGGAAGAATGATTTTTTGGCATTTATTCTCGGAAATCATAACTTTTCAAGGAAAAGCTCGATCACCACAAACTTTGTTCAGTTAGAAAGATGAGGTCAGCTAGGAATAATGGTTGTTTGGATTTTACAGCGCAGCTTTTGGAGTTTGAGCTTGCCTCAGACCGTCGGTCTTCGGAAGATACCTCTCTTACATTTTTATCTCTGCAATCTGAAGCTCGCTGAAAGCCATTAGGTCACTATTGGGAAGCAAACGCTTTACGCTTTCTAACAAAATTTGTTGCGAGCAGAATCGTTTCAATAGAAAGAAATTAAGAGTTTTTGAAAACTGTGCGCACGAACTTTCGGTTCAACCTAATATAATAGCTGCTTTTAGAAACTCCGGTAAAAATTCAGCGACGTCATATGGCGCCTTCATATAATGAACTTTTTTGTTACTGCGTTATAACTATCTGACTTTTTAAAAGTAAGAGCTTTACGGTAGGCTTTACAAATATTTGTGTTTAGGTCTGGCTGCTTTATGGCGAGCCAACGATCAAGACTGTCTTTTTGTGGAGATGTCTCGAAATGTTGGAGCTGGTCCCCACCTGATCATCGAGTGCATACCCGTCCCTGTGGAAATTGGAGACGTAGCGCCCATTTATTTCAAGGTGCGTTCGTTTGTGATATAGCAGATTTATACATTTCCATGTTTGGCAGTGGTCAACAAAGTTGCAAAAATAACGTATGTGGCATTCCTTTGGCTATCGCAACGGACAATCTAGTTCAAGTTGTTTGTTTCGGTGACCATTTCAAGGTTACTCACCGCATTGGAATGCATATGTCACCACATCGCCAAAAGGCGAAACGAGAGTCAAAGAAACGTGAAGTTTGGGGAAGAGATTGTAAAAAAGCGCTTAACATAGGCGTATTCCAATGCGCTTATTGTTCTCTGCTGCTGACGAAATATTGCCTCAATAGTGTGTTCTGGAAGCAAAGATTTTTTCGAATTGTGACGCAATGGTGCACTTGTTTGCATCACTATGACCTTTCCTTAGGAGGTTCAGTGAGTAGAAGAGTGTGGCTAAAATCTGGTTCAGAGCTTGTTAGAGAGTTTGCTTGCTTTGTTACGGCACAGTTCCTAAGTTGTAACAAGCTTAGTTGTAAGAGGTCCAGTTCCTAGGTTACAAGCTTTTGGGTGGTACTTGAAACCTTTGAGTATTAACATTGTCAAAATACCTGCAAAAACTTTCCTTTCAAATGGAGTTCCTGCGACGCTTTCATTTCTTTGGTTCACCAAGCATTTTAAACCGTCAACAATGAAGGGGGGGATCTCAAGGGTTTACAAGTAATATAGGTGAGTCGTCTTCGTCTGTAACGAAACAATTTTATAACTTTCATAAGAATCAAATCATTTGGTAAAAACCTTCTTACTGCTCATTGCCAATGCAAAGCTAATATTATTCAAAATAAATGCATCATCCCAAAGGCTGGAGATGAAAAATGAATTGTTATAATATGGCCTTAATAGGAACGGAGTTTCGCGCGATATGCAATCGCACCTACTAACACATTCACGACAATACGATCCTCGGGTGGCTTGTATTGTAGATTGTCTAGACTTGAGTCAAAGGAGCATCATTCATCGAAGAATTTGAGCTAAAGTCCGTGCCTCATCTCTGTCTGCGGTATACCTACCGTAACATCACATTACATCATCCCGAACCTGGATCACTTTTGGTGGAAACTTCGCCTACGTGTCCTCAATCATGTGCCAGAATCCCGTAGAATTTCATCGTAAATCCAAAGTTGGAGCTTTAGAAATCTTCGACCCACCTGTGGATCTTATTGTCCGAAATGGCAAAACACGTACGACCCACCGGTGGATCGTATTGTCATGAATGTGTTAATAGCGATTGCATATCGCACAAAACTCCGTCCCTATATAGGCCATAGTATAACAAATCATTTTTCATTCATCTCTAGCGTTTGGGATTATGCATTTATCTTTTAACAATAATGCTTGGCATAGACAATGAGCAGTAAGAAGGTTTTTACCAAGTTTATTTGATTCTTATGAAAGTCATAAATGTTGAGATACAGATGACAACGATTCACCTACATTACTTGTAATCTCTTGAGATCCCCCCCCTCCCTCCTCCTACACCTCGCGAAATCATTGTCGACGGTTTAAAATGCTTGGAGGATCAAAGAAATGAAAACGTTGTAGGAACTCCGTTTGAAGGGAAAGGTTTTGCAGGTATTTTGACAAAGTCGATAAATGGTAAAAGCCATTCTATTGGAAATGGTTTTTAGGCAAAAAAGTGGATCAAATTATACATATTCTTACTAACAGAGGAATTATAAAAATTAATTGTTCGTAAGCTGGCAATGTTTGGTGTGCAATCGCACACATAGGGTACAGATGACTCGACTAATAGGTCGGCTCATATGTGGGAGGTATACAATTCTGGATGGAGATGTTGAAGTGTCTATTCTAGTCTATCTTCAAAACGAAAGCCTACAATAGTATCAAAAATTTGAACTAATCTATTGGAAGAAAAGAAACTAGAAAAAACTAGAGATCTCGTCCGATAAGTCACTGATTCGAACTGAAATTGTGGTTGTTATTGTATCATTGCTGAAGAGTTCGTGCCAGCTCATCATTCTTCCGTTCTATTATCGAGGTCGATCATTGCTCTGACAGAGATTAATAGCTCAGACACATACAAGTTTTGATCATGTAAGTAGGCGAACAACATGACTGTAAAAGGATTAATTGCGCCTAAATTGTGCGGAAACGTCAAACTGATCGTCTAGGGAGATCAATCATCGAAATAAATTTGTTTTTAATATTTGTGCTGAATTAAGCTCACATTAATTGAACTCGGGAGTCAAAAGTCATTTCCAGAATCATAGTCATTGTAATAGGTTGGCACATAAGTTTTGCGACTGATTTTGTAATTTTTCTCTTTTTGACTGTGACGCATGTGGGCCTAATCTTATATATAAAGCTGAATGTCTGTCTGTCTGTATGTATGTCTGTCTGTACGTATGTGCGGAATAGAAATTTTTATTTCTGAACCGATCGGGACCAAACTTGGCACACATATACTTCGGGGCAGGGAGCGTGTCATAGGCTACTTTTCGTTATCGATCGATATCGATTTTTATCGATTTTTTTGCTGAGTTCACCTACGGGGCCGGGAGTTGGCACAGGGGGGTAATCGAGCATGGGGATTCCGAATACAATATTGGTTTTCGGGATTATCGATTACTTTTATCGATTTTATCGATTTTTTGAAGCATGCTCGATTACACCCCTGTGCCAAATTCCAGCCCCCTAGCTCAAATTTTCAAAAAATCGATAAAATCGATAAAAGTAATGGACGATCCTGAAAACTAATATTGTATTCGTAATCTGCATGCTCGATTACCCCCCTGTGCAAACTCCCAGCCCCGCAGGTCAAACTTTACAAAAAAAATCGATAAAATCGATAAAAGTAATGGACGATCCTGAAAACTAATATTGTGTTCGTAATCAGCATGCTCGATTACCCCCCTGTGCAAACTCCCAGCCCCGCAGGTCAAACTTTACAAAAAAAATCGATAAAATCGATAAAAGTAATGGACGATCCTGAAAACTAATATTGTGTTCGTAATCAGCATGCTCGATTCCCCCTGTGCAAAATCCCAGCCTCGCATGTCAAAATTTACAAAAAATCGATAAAATCAATAAAAGTAATCGATAATTCTGAAAACTAATATTGTATTCGGAATCCCCATGCTCACTTCCCCCCCTGTGCCAACTCCTAGCCCTGTAGGTGAACTCTGCAAAAAAATCGATAAAAATCGGTAAAATCGACATCGATCGATAACGAAAAGTGGACTATGACACGCTCCCTGCCCCGAAGTGTATGTGTGCAAAGTTTGGCCCCGTGCGAAGCCGGGTTTGCCAACTAGTGTGGAATAAGTAGTAGGCTACAAACCTATGCAAACAATTTGATTTTGGTGGCGGAATGGAGAAAATTTAAGCATTTTTTGAAAAATGGTCAGAGAAATTCCAAGGGTCGTATGACCAAAAATGAAGCTGCTCTCAGTTTGAATCAAACAAATCAAGCCGAAACTGTGTAGATGATTAGAGTTTCCTTCTGGGTACAGTTTTAGCTTGATGTGCATGATTTATACTGAGAACGGCTTTATTTTTGGTTTTCCGACCCTTGAAACTTCAGATTTAACCAGCTTTCGAAAAATTAGTACAGTTTTTTCAATTCGATACCAAAAATTAAATCTTTTGCCTAAATTTGTGATCTACTGCCTAATCTACATTATGCCCGAAAATGAAGCGTCATAGACAAAAAGAGCAAAGTTACGAATTAAGCTGCAAAACTTATGTGCCAACCTAATAGAAAGAAGAAGTACTTGATTTTTTGTTTTTGGACTGTTGGGGGCAGACAAAATATGTTTTCTCAAAGTTTTGTGCTCGTGAATTTTCGCCTTTTTCCATGTCTAGACGACCCAATATCTTCCAGTACATTAGTCACATACATTATAGAATTGCACAATTTCATTGAATTTTGATTTTTGAGTTCTTTGTCAAGCTTGGTGATTTGTGATGACGAATAAATTGTCAAAGCAGTACCTTATCAAAGATCACTGTTCCGTCGAGAATTGTTTTTGCTAAAAAGGGAGAGAGATGTTTTTTGATGTGGGACTTTGTCAAGCGTGGAAGCAATCACATGCCCTTGTGTGACTGTATCGAAAATGGATTCATAGGAACCGGGGCACTATCATGGCTGCAAAAAATTTGTAAACTACCACAATCACGTTTACAAGTTCAAATTCAAAATTTCCTCGTATTTAAACGATTCTCATAAGTGTTACAACTGAAATGTCTTCTCCTTTCATTTGGCTCAAGATTTGCTTATCCAATAGGTTTATTAGTTTTAAAATGGCCAGTAGGAAGAGAAATATTCGACTTTGGCAAGATGTAAAAGAGGAAAGCGAACCTCTCGTTCAAGTGTTTCTTAAATTCTAAAACTTATTGAAACGCTCAAGTGCTTTGAAGACAAGCTATCTTAAGTGGACCAATATCGCTTTGTCTCCCTCTTTTTTTAGTGCTGAAAATTTCTTCCTCTGAAATCGGTCGTTCTAAAATCAATAAATTTTTTGGATGAACTGAAGATCAAGTGCCAGAAAGAGAAAGAATGATCTTTCAGTAGACACCAAGATATTTGTATCAATCGTTTTGATCCAGGTAAAAAAAATATTTAAATCTGGACTTGTCAAGGGACCTGGGCAATGATAGTGTTAAATGGATGTTTCTCAGCGTGAACGTATGTTCGCACTACACAAAAGCCTTTTTTGCTTGTATGCTAATCATTCGCCCTTTCCGCTCTGTTTCCTTTACATAAAAAAGATTGAAATGAACACATTCATCGTTTGCTGTACATATTCCAACGACCCTACTGAAAGGGGACCCAACACATAACTAAAAAAAAGTCATGAGACGTGTGACTGTGTATGCAAGAAAAGCCCCACGTAAACTTGAGAATTTTCTTATATAAACAGTCATACAGCACTTCGAGCCCCATGCCTACATGGTCGTAAAGTCACAGCACATGAACTTAGAAGAAGTTATTCCATCCGAACAGGCAATTGATAGACAGCC